TGTTGTGTCAGCTCAGGTCCTCCCTCTTTAAAGATTTCAGCAGGGATCCCATCAGGTCTGCTGGCTGTTATTTTTTTGTTGGGTGATGGCATTGCTGACTTCTTCCAAACTAGGCAGTGCTGCAAGCTCATCCCTGGTTTGTTGTTGCGGGATTTGTGAGAGAACCTCTTCGGCCACATTGGAGCTGCGGTTCAGGAGGCTTTGGTAGTGTTCTTTCCAATGTAGTGCAATTGATTTTTGGTCCTTCAGGAGTTTGGTTCCATCTGATGAGCGTAGAGGCTGTATGCCATGGTTTCTTGGTCCATAGATGACCTTTGTGGCTTTGAAAATCCCTGAGCATCATGGGTATCTGCCAGGTGTTGGATTTCTTCAGCCTTCTTTGTCCACCAGATGTTCTTGAGTTCTCTTGTCCTTCTTTGGACCTCAGCTTTTGCACTGGCATAGATCTTTTTCTTAGCAGCACAGTTGATGTCTCTCTGCCATGTTTGGAAGGCTTTCCTTTTCTTGTCAATTAGCTGTTGGATCTCGTTGTCATTTTCATCAAACCAATCTTGATGTTTCTTGGTTTGATATCCAATAGTTTCTTCGCAGGCTTGGATGATGGAGGTCTTCAGTTTGTTCCAATGTTCCTCAACATTTTTGGGGTGTTCTGTGGGTAGATGGTCCTTGAGTGCTGTTTGGAGAAAGGCTCGTTTGGAGGGCTCCTGAAGGGCTTGGGTGTTCATTTTGAGCACGTCACAGCGGTCTCTGGCACGTGTGATTACGTAGTCTAAGAGGTACCAATGCTTTGACCGGGGGTGCTTCCATGATGTCTTGAGCTTGTTTTTTTCTGACGGAAGAGCGTGTTGGTGATGACAAGGTTGTGTTCCGCACATTTGGTGAGAAGCAGGATGCCATTCGAGTTGCTGTTTCCAACCCTGTCTTTTCCTATGGTCCCTGGCCACAGGTCGAAGTCTTGCCCGACTCTTGCATTAAAGTCCCCCAGGAGGATGATTTTGTCCTCCTTAGGTATCTCCGATAGGACGGTGTCCAGCTGACAGTAAAAATTTTCCTTGATGTCTTCATCAGCATCTAGTGTTGGTGCATAGGCACTTATGATGGTTGCCCTTTGGTTTTTGGCCACTTCAGTTCGGAGGGTTGAGAGTCGTTCATTGATGCCAGTGGGTGCTTCGGTCAGATGTTTCACCCGATCATTTCTGATAGCAAAGCCAACTCTGTGCATTCTTTGGCTTTCTTCGGGCAGTCCCTTCCAGAAGAAGATATAACCTCCTTTTTCTTCCTTCAGCTGTCCCTCTCCTGCTCTCCAGGTCTCCTGAAGTGCTGCTATGTCAATGTTAAAGTGTCCCAGCTCCCTTGCAATGATGGCAGTTCTGCATTCGGGGCATTCACTGTCAGTGTTGTCCATCAGTGTCCGTATGTTCCATGTACCGAAGTTCATTTTTCTTTTTTGGCCGCAGGGTGGTGACCTCACTGGGCGCGGCAATCCAGTCAGGGATAAGAAACGCAGACTATGTTTAGGGCACCTTTTCTAGCCCCTTCCCCGTGTGGGGTGAGCAGAGTGAGTCCTAAAAAGGGCTGCTCAGTCATGGATACAGCTGCTGAACTACTCAACTGCCTTGGACCTTGAGGTAGAATGACTGAGTCCATATCCACTGCCCATGTGTCAGTCTGTGACTAGGAGCTTCCAGATTTCACAGTCCTGCCCCCATCACCACTCACTGTTTGCCATGGGACTTTTGTTGGTTTGTTTTTATTTTCTTTGGAAGACGCCTGTGCGTGAGTTTTTTTAATGTGTAGAGGTCAGTGCACAACTGATCAACACACAGTCCTCACAGAGTGAGGTTCCACTGGTGTAGTTTAACACAATGACCGTGGCTTCTTAATCTTTTGGAACCACCTTCACAGCCATTGTAACATGTTACCATGTTATCCTCTGCCTGCTCCACCGTTGAGGTCTTTGGGTCTTCAGACTGTGCTTGGTCTGGAACCTCCCCCGCGGCCACTCCTGGGAGTGCACGACTCCAGTCGTTGTGCCCGCAGGTTCATTGGAACACGCAAGCCCCCTCACCACGACAAGGTGACAGTCCATCGAGGGGGGTTTATTGGTTATAAAATGTTTGTATATATCTATTATTTCTAGTGATATTACATTATGTTTTATTTGGTGTGTATAATGAGGCATTGAATTTTTGCCTAGATGTATGTTGTACACCGCTCTGAATGTGTTAAACCGCTGAGCTGAGGAACTTGTTGACTGAAAGGTTGCAGGTTTGGATCCGGGAAGCGATGTGAGCTCCCGGTGTTAGTCCCAGCTTGTCAACCTAGCAGTTCAAAAACATACAAATGTGAGTAGATCAATAGGTACCACTCCGGAAGGAAGGTAACGGCTCTCCATGCAGTTATGCCAGCCACATGACCTTGGAGGTGCCTATGGCCAACGCCGGCTCTTCAGCTTAGAAATGAAGATGAGCACAAACCCCGACACGACTGGACTTAATGTCAGGGGAAAACCTTTAACCTTTTTACTAATAAAAATATAAACCTCACTGGCCTAGTTTCCAACAGAACCCTCAACCTCTAAGGATGCCTGCCATAGCTGTGGCCGAAACAAATCAGGCTTGATAAACAAGCTGGTTTCCCTTTTTGTGCCATGCAGCTGAAGCTTTTCCTGCAGAGTCCGGTGTAAACTCTGCACATTGTTGCCAATAGATTTGTGTAAATGGGTTGCCCCATTTGTGGCTAGACTTTGCTGCGAGCCCAACATTGAGCTCAGGCGATCGATCCCACAGATAATCTCTGCTCTACAAATGCGGCCCTCCAGGTGACTCTCCCTACACTTTAGACTAGGCATGGGTCAACTTGGGCCCTCCAGGTGTTTTGGACTTCAACTCCCACAATTCTTCACAGCTTCAGGCCCTTTCTTTTCCTCCCACAGCCACATAACCATGGTGCAGCTAGTTAGTAGCCAGCTGCATTAAATCACTACTGACCGAGAGATCATGAGTTCGAAGCCAGCCCGGGTCAAAGTGAGCTCCTGACCATTAATAGTCTAGCTTGCTGTTGACCTATGCAGCCGGAAAGACAGTTGCACCTGTCAAGTAGGAATTTTAGGAACCACTTTATGTGGGGAGGCTAATTTAGCTAATTCAAAATACCATAAAACCTTCAAGCAGTGTGTGAAAGAATTGAGGAAGTACTCCATCAAGGACTCTGTGCCACAAGTGGACGGTGAAGCAGTAGTTCCCCATGTGGCCGGAATCGAGCATATCCTCATGAAGCCGGAAAGCTGGAATGTTAAACTGCCTCTGTGTCTGTCTATATATTTGTTGTATGTCATTCAATGTTTGCCATGTATATGTGTATTGTAATCCGCCCTGAGGGGTGAAAAGGGTGGAATAGAAATACTGTAAATAAATAAATAACTCAGCCATGGGCCAGCTTGGGCCCGCCAGGTGTTTTGGACTTCAACTCCTCACAGTCTCAGGCCCTTTCCTTCCCCCCACCCCCTCCAGGGGTTTTGGACTTCGAGTCCCACCATTGTTCACAGCCTCAGGCCCTTCCCTTTTTCCCCTCAGCCGCATAACTCAGGGATGGGACAACTTGGACCCTCTTAAGTGTTTTGGACTTCACAAAATTAGTACTCAGTCTGAATAAAGTATGCAAAACTAAGAATGCTTGTACCACCCTGGGTAAACCTGGAAGTACCCAACCCCCATCCCTGTTGCCCCCACCCCCTTCCATCCCCCCTCTCCCCGCATGTGACCTGTTCCCTCTCCCCCACCCAACTTACCTCCCTCTCCACAAAAATCCTCTGCAACCCTGGCACTCCCTTCTCCTGTTTTTACTTAAACTGTATGTATAATAAAATCAATAAATAAATATTTTTTAAAAAAGAAAGATATATAAATACAGTAAATAAATAAATATTAAATAAACTAACACTATAAAAAAAGTGCTTTGGACTTCGACTCCCACCATTCCTCACAGCCTCAGGCCCTTTCCTTTTCCCCCTCAGCCGCATCACTCAAGCCTGGACCAGCTTGGGCCCTCCATGTGTTTTGGACTTCGACTCCTACCATTCTTCACAGCCTCAGGTCCTTCCCTTTTCCCCCTCAGCCGCATCACTCAGGCATGGGCCAGCTTGGGCCTTCCAGGTGTTTTGGACTTCGACTCCCACCATTCCTCACAGCCTCAGGCCCTTTCCTTTTCCCCCTCAGCCGCATAACACAGGCATGGGCCAGCTTGGGCCTTCCAGGTGTTTTGGACTTCGACTCCCACCATTCCTCACAGCCTCAGGCCCTTTCCTTTTCCCCCTCAGCCGCATAACACAGGCATGGGCCAGCTTGGGCCTTCCAGGTGTTTTGGACTTCGACTCCCACCATTCCTCACAGCCTCAGGCCCTTTCCTTTCCCCCCTCAGCCACATCACTCAGGCATGGGCCAGCTTGGGCCAGGTGTTTTGGACTTCGACTCCCACCATTCCTCACAGCCTCAGGCCCTTTCCTTTTCCCCCTCAGCCGCATAACACAGGCATGGGCCAGCTTGGGCCTTCCAGGTGTTTTGGACTTCGACTCCCACCATTCCTCACAGCCTCAGGCCCTTTCCTTTTCCCCCTCAGCCGCATAACACAGGCATGGGCCAGCTTGGGCCTTCCAGGTGTTTTGGACTTCGACTCCCACCATTCCTCACAGCCTCAGGCCCTTTCCTTTTCCCCCTCAAAAGGAAAGGGCCTGAGGCTGTGAGGAATGGTGGGAGTCGAAGTCCAAAACACCTGGAGGGCCCAAGCCTAAGGTAAACTCTTTAGCTCCCCTCTCCCACTTCCACAAGCTGTGGCAAAACAAAGACCAGCCGTTCTCCTCTCTCTGCCTGACTCCCCTCGCCTTGCAGGGAGAGAGAGGAGGCCACGCCCCCACCGGCGAGGCCACGCCCCCTGGCGCGAGCCGATCGCGCGAGAGCAAAAGGAAGCGGGAAGAAGCCGCGCGCTCTCTCTCCTTCGCTCACCGTGACGAGACGATGAAGGCGCCAGGCCGGACGTCGGGCCTCATCTCAGCGACGAAGGGTCAGGTTTCCCAGGAGAAAACAACAACAAAACAAAGCAGAAAAAGGAAAGGAGGGAGGGAGGGAGGAAGGGGACGGAAAGGGAAAAGAACGGACCCTCTTTCGGGAAACCTCCACTGGGCTTCACACCCGGTAGCGGAAGTTCGCGCCTGGAAATGACGTAGAGGACGAGCTCTGATTGGCTGGCTCCGCGGCCGGAGGGTTAGGGCGGAAGGGATGGATAGGGAGCCTTTAAACTTTCACCAGACCTAGATATGGCTTGGCTAATATCTGGAGATGCCAGGAGTTAAGACTCAGGGCATTCTGTGCAGTTATTGGCAGTTTTCTCAGCAAACCCTAGGCATTCCACACATATGGAAACCTCAGACTACGCAGAGAAGCCATTGAAATCCACAAAAGTGGAGAATTTCAACAGAAAGGAGGAAACCATGAAAATCTGGCTAAAATATTTTTTAAAAAAACTCTAAAATCGGGCCAGTAAATAAAGAGCAAGACTAAAAAAGCAGCGGAATTCCGGACAGGGAACAATCAGGGCCAGCTAACACCTCCCAACAGAGGATTTCTCCAGGCAGGAAGCAGCCAGGCTTTGAAGCTGCAAGACTATTCGGTGCTAATTAAGGTGGCCAATTGCAACATTCACACTTGTCTCAGACAAGAGTTTTTTCTCCCACCCTGGACATTCCACATTTAACAAATGCTGGAGGAAATATGGGGCACTGAGTGCACATTTCCACACATGGGAATGTCCTGATTTTTCTAAATTTTTGGAAAATATATAGCTGGGAAGTTAAATTATTTATTTTTATATTTATTATTTGAACTTATATGCCGCCACTCCCCTGGGGCTCGGAGCGGCTTACAAGAATGGCTAAAATCTAACAAAATTTAAAACAATTTAAAAACAACAATCTCAAATTACAAACCAAGCAGTGCTTGTTTGCCCCAAAACACAGCAATTTTTAAAATATTTTGTGACCACAGTGAGGCACTAAATCATGTTTTTCTGCAAGATGATAATATCTCAGAACTTGTAAAACCTTTGTTTGCCTAGTTTCTAACAGACCTCACAACCTCTGAGGATGCCTGCCATAAATGTGGACGAAACATCAGGAGAGAATGCTTCTGGAACATGGCTATACCGGCCGGAGATCTCACAGCAACCCAGACATGAGGTTCCAACAGACCTCGCAACCTCTGAGGATACCTGCCATAGATGTGGGTGAAACGTCAGAAGAGAATGCTCCTGGAACATGACCATACAACCCGGAAAACTCATAGCAACCCAGCATAAGAGCTTCTTTAGAGTGGAATATGCTGCCTGTGAGTGTGGTGGAAGCTCTCTCTGCGTGGGAGCAGAGGCCAAATGACCATCTGCGTGGAAGAGTGCTTTCTTTGTATGCTTCCGCATAGCAAGCAGTTGGACAATAAATGACTTTGTGGTCTCTTCCAACTCTAATAATAATGTTGTTGTTGTTGTTCATTCGTTCAGTCGTCTCCGACTCTTCGTGACCTCATGGACCAGCCCACGCCAGAGCTCCCTGTCGGCCGTTACCACCCCCAGCTCCTTCAAGGTCAGTCCAGTCACTTCAAGGATGCCATCCATCCATCTTGCCCTTGGTCGGCCCCTCTTCCTTTTGCCTTCCACTTTCCCCAGCATAATTGTCTTCTCTAGGCTTTGCTGTCTCCTCATGATGTGGCCAAAGTACTTCAGCTTTGTCTCTAGTATCCTTCCCTCCAATGAGCAGTCGGGCTTTATTTCCTGGAGGATGGACTGTTGGATCTTCTCGCAGTCCAAGGCACTCTCAGAACTTTCCTCCAACACCACAGCTCAAAAGCATCGATCTTCCTTCGCTCAGCCTTCCCTAAGGTCCAGCTCTCACATCCGTAGGTTACTACAGGGAATACCATGGCTTTGACTAGCCGGATCTTTGTTGCCAGTGTGATGTCTCTACTCTTTACTATTTTATCGAGACTGGACATTGCTCTCCTCCCAAGAAGTAAGCGTCTTCTGATTTCCTGGCCACAGTCTGCATCTGCAGTAATCTTTGCACCTAGAAATACAAAGTCTGTCATTGCCTCCACGTTTTCTCCCTCTATTTGCCAGTTATCAATCATTGCTATTATCTTGATTTTTTTTATGTTTAGCTGCAACCCAGCTTTTGCGCTTTCTTCTTTCACCTTGATTAGAAGGCTCCTCAACTCCTTCTCGCTTTCGGCCATCAGAGTGGTGTCATCTGCATATCTGAGGTTGTTAATGTTTCTTCCAGCAATTTTTACCCCAGCTTTGCATTCATCAAGCCCCGCACATCGCATGATGTGTTCTGCATACAAGTTAAAAAGGTTGGGTGAGAGTATGCAGACTTGCCGTACGCCTTTCCCAATCTTGAACCAGTCTGTTGTTCCGTGGTCAGTTCTGACTGTTGCTACTTGGTCCTTGTACAGATTCCTCAGGAGAGAGAAAGGTGGCTTGGGATGCCCATCCCACCAAGAACTTGCCACAATTTATTATGATCCACACAGTCAAAGGCTTTAGAATAGTCAATGAAGCAGACATAGATGTTTTTCTGAAACTCCCTGCCTTTCTCCATTATCCAGCGGATATTGGCAATCTGGTCTCTTGTTCCTCTGCCTTTTCTAAACCCAGCTTGAACATCTGGCAACTCTCGCTCCATGTATTGCTGGAGTCTTCCTTGCAGGATCTTGAGCATTACCTTACTGGCATGAGAAATAAGGGCCACTGTACGGAAGTTTGAGCAGTCTTTCGCATTTCCCTTTTTTTGGTATGGGGATATAAGTTGATTTTTTCAGTCTGATGGCCATTCTTGTGTTTTCCATATTTGCTGGCAAATGGCATGCATCACCTTGACAGCATCATCTTTTAAGATTTTAAACAGTTCAGCTGGGATCCCGTCGTCTCCTGCTGCCTTGTTGTTAGCAATGCTTCTTAAGGCCCATCCAACCTCACTCCTCAGGATGTCTGGTTCTAATTCATTCACCACACCGTCATAACTATCCTCAATATTATTATCCTTTCTATACAGATCTTCTGTATAGTCTCGCCACCTTCTCTTGATCTCTTCAGCTTCTGTTAGGTCCCTGCCATCTTTGTTTCTTATCATACCAATTTTTGCCTGAAATTTACCTCCAATGTTTCTAATTTTCTGGAAGAGGTCTCTATTCTGTTGTCTTCTTCCACTTCCATGCATTGCTTATTTAAAAATTGCTTATTTAAAAATAGCCATATTTTTATTTCTGACCAATCTCTTCTCATGGTTCAAGGCAGGTTACAACATAGTTAAAACACATAATCACTGTGAATATGCTGTAAAATACACATTGTGTTGTTGAAGGGTTTCGTGGCCGGAATTACTGGGTTGCTTGAGTTTTCCGAGCTGGATAGCCATGTTCCAAAAGCATTCTCTCCTGACATTTCACCCACATCAATGTCAGGCATCCTCAGGTTGAGGGGTTTTTGGAAACTAGGCAAGTGGGGTTTATATATCTCTGGAATGTCAGGGTGGGAGAAAGTGTCTCAGTCCAGGGAAGTCATGCAACCCCTCTATTCTGCCTTTGTCAGACCACACCTGGAATCACACTCTCCAATTCTTCCCTATGTGGTCAGTACTTCCTTTGATGCTTCTCTTGTCCTCAAACAGACAAGAGTTCTTTCTCCCACCCTGGACATTCCACAGATATATAAATTTATTTATTTACTAGCTGTGCCCTGCCACGCGTTGCTGTGGCCTATAGTAAAACTTATCAAAGTTGAGGTAGATATCTGGACTATTATGAAAGAGAGGTACCTACCTATTCCTTCCCCCTTTTCCTCCCCCCTTCTCTCCTTTCTTCCTTCTCTACCTCTTTCTTTCTTTCCTTCTTTCACTACTTGGTTTCATCCTTCTCTCTTTCCTTCATTCCCTCCCCCTTTCTTCCTTTGCCTTTCTTCCCTCCCTGTTTGCTTCCTTCTTTCACTTTTTATTTCCTTTTATTTCACCACCATCATAACAATAACAATAATGCAATGCATTGCCTCTGGGACCTGACACCTCTCCCATTCCCCCAGGGTCTAATAGGAATAATAGCATAATAATAATAGAAATAACAACCTTTACCCGCCACGTGTTGCTGTGGCCAACCTTCCCTCTTTCTCTCCTTCTTTCCCTCCTTCCTTCCTTCCCTCCATCTTTCCTTCTCCTCTTCCTTCTCTATCTCTTTCCTTCCTTCCCCCCTTTTTCTTTCTCTTCTGGTCTCTTTTCTTCCTTCTCTCTTTCCTTCTTTCCTTCCCTCCCTCTTTCTCTACATCTTCCCCCTTCCTTCACTCCCTCTTTCCTTCCTTCATTCCCTTTTTTCTTTCCTTCTCTCCTTCTTTCCTTCCCCCTTTTTCTTTCTCTTCTGGTCTCCTTTCTTCCTTCTCTCTTTCCTTCTTTCCTTACCCTCCCTCTTTCTCTACATCTTCCCCCTTCCTTCACTCCCTCTTTCCTTCCTTCATTCCCTTTTTTCTTTCCTTCTCTCCTTCCTTCCCCCTTTTTCTTTCCCTCCCTCTGTCTCTCATTTCTTCCTTCTCTACCTCTTTCCTTCCTTCCCCCTTTTTCTTTCTCTTCTGCTGTCTCTCTTTTCTTTCCTTCCATCTTTCCTTTTCTTTCCTTTTCTTCTTCCTTCTTTCTCTAACTTTCCTTCCTTCCCCCTTTTTCTTTACCTCTCTTTCTTCCTTCTTTCCTTCCTTCCCGTCTTTCCTGGATTTTGACAGGGCAGGAAGGGGTGGGGTGGGGTTTGGAGGTGGCGTGAAGTAAAAGGAGGTAAGATTGGGGGGGGAGTGATGGAGCGTGGGGTTGCGTGTGTGTGTGCGGCGGCGGGGGGAGGGGGGTTGCGTGTGTGTGTGCGGCGGCGGGGGGAGTGATGGAGCGTGGGGTTGCGTGTGTGTGCGGCGGCGGGGGGAGATGGAGCGTGGGGGTGCGTGTGTGTGCGGCGGCGGGGGGAGCGAGGGAGGGTGCGTGTGTGTGTGCGGCGGCGGGGGAGGGATGGAGCGTGGGTGGGTGTGTGTGCGGCGGCGGGGGGAGTGATAGAGCGTGGGGTTGCGTGTGTGTGTGCGGCAGCGGGGGGGGTGGTGTGCGTGTGTGTGCGGCGGCGGGGGGAGTATGGAGCGTGGGGTTGCGT